GGCTTTTGCTTTAAAAATAAAAGACTGTAATCTGGACTTGAAGGGAAGAGATGATTTAGCAGAAAGACACCCACACACAGTGAACTGCAGTTCCCAGGATGAGGGGGGAAATGCAGCCATGAAATATTGCCTCCAGTAGCTGAGCAAACTTAACCGCCGAGGTGATTTCTTTATAAAGGAGGCAGTACAGCGTGGCTTTGTTATGGTTAACAAATCCCATGAAGGAAAAACAACAGTCTCAGTCTGTTCCTCAAATCCTTTCTGACTTTTCAATTGCTTTCATCCTTAAGCCTATTTGTTCCTACTCACCATGGAAATCTTTTCCAGAGAGAAAACAGGTCACACATGTTAGTTTTGTTTTTTTTTCTTCCTTTTTTGTGCTCAGCAAACAACTATAAGGAGTGTTTATTAAAGTGTCTTTTATTAGTATGTGGATTTGTTGCTTCAGGTATTTCTGCGGCAGGTTGATTATTTATAAATTACTTTTATTTAAGGCTGCACCTAACGATTATTTTGATAGTCGACTAATCTGTCAATTATTTTTTTGATTAATCGATTAGTCACTGCTTTTTCTATCACCTCCTGTTCCAGCTCCACGCATCTCCTCTCACCTGAATGTCACTGTTATCCAGTCCAGTAATTAAAATAATGACCCATAAAACTTAAGCTTAATAACTTAATCCCATGGGTTTCTAACATTAATACGTGTGATCATAAGAAAATTGTAATTAAATACAAATTAACGGCAAGTAATCTTTTAAACAAACTACTAATGTACAAGTAAATATCAACCTCTGCCCAGCATGAGGGGTTGGTAACCTGCCCTGCTGCAAGTCCAAAATAAATTAAAACTGCAAGCAGTGATAAAGAGCTCTGGCGCACCAGGGCGATACCGGACCGTGCGTATSTCCAGCTGACACTATAGCTGGCCCATCTGTCGGGTTTCGTTAAGCACAGCCCAAAACAACAGTACGAAACAGCCAATTATGCAATAACTGGAAAAAGTCCAAGTTTGTCACGCTGCCACGGCCACTTTATGGCTGCCAACACTTATGAATGTTGTCTGTGTTTCTCAAAATGTCTGAACTTAACAAGGCAACTTTAAATGGAGAACACTAAAATGCTTTTTTACACTGCCACTAGGTGGTGCAGTAGTGAATTTACACCAATAACATATGACCATGTTTAGGACTGAATGCCTGTTTTTCTCCTTCACAAAGTTTGGACCCTTAACGCTGTGTTTGATGTCAAAATGGGCCGATTAAAAAACAGTTTGAACAACTGTTGATAATTTTGATATACCATCGTGCCAAAAAGCTTTGGTCCAAAGATGAAATAACTTTTGGCGTGATGGTGAAAGTTGATGTTTCATTTAAAATGGTCGACTTCTTGTTGGTTTTCCAATATGGTGCCAGGAGATTTTTATTTTTGTATGATCTGAACCAGTGCACCTATGCAATAAATTTTGTACACGTATGTTAAAGTAGGGGCTGTAATCAACATGGTGCTACYGAGTCAATTTGTCATGCCCACATCAGATTTTTTTTTGCTTCTCCATATTGTCACCAGTATTAAATATTTGTTCCATAATGCCAAACCTTCTGGTGTTGGGTGAGACATGAAATTTGCCAAAATATATTTTTTTAAGTGGCAGACTTCCTGTAGGTTTTAGAATATGATGCAGGAGACTTTTTTTGTCAGTACTGGACTGATGYACCWATGTACCAAATTTCTAATGTGTATATTTAAGCTCAGCCCACTATAACATGGTGCGTAAAAGTCAAAAATAAATCTATCCTGTTTGAAATCTTGCTGGATCTGGCAGTTCAAAAGTTCAAATAAGAATTTTACACAAAAAAAGTGATTTAAAATGATGGCACTTAATGATTAGGTAACATTAACATAACTGAAAGCTTTGCTCCCAAGGAACAAAACTTATAGATAGTTGGCTACAGCAGGAAGTGGTCAGTCACTGAAATTAAAATCGATGAGGAATCAACCTGACGAACAACATAACTTTCTGAAACTCACACCTAGAGAGGATAAACACAGCTGCAGTGTGTTAGCGGTTCAGGTGATCAGGTGTTTTTGATTCAGCCTTTAAACGTGACAAAAGAAAATATATTTTGCAAAGCAAAGCTTGCAATTTCTTTGTTCAATTTCATATTTATCTGTCGTTGCACCGACGAACTTGCCTGCAGTATTGATTATTTCTTTGACATGTAGAGGAGAAACAGCGTCGGGTTAACTTTAATCTCTATAGACAAACTTTGTTCTTCCATAAATCACAACGAGAAAAGACTTTGCTTCAAAGTATTTTGGGGGTTTACTTTCCACTCAGAGTTTTCATTTGAAAATATCTACAGTTTTTTTTATGTACAGATTTAGTTCAATAGATAATTTAAATAATTAGTACTCAGCCTGCTTTACTTTGTAAACACACTCATTCAACTTCAGTCCAAAAATATCATAAAATATTAAACCTTTTGCTCACTGCTGATCTACAGTATATTACCAAACATTTCACACCATTGTTTCAATATTTAATTTAATGCAGGAGTTACATCTCATAAACATAAAACTCCTGCCAAGGCTGGAAAATTACCAATTAATTATTGTAAACTTTTTAGTTTTTTGATTTTAATTTTTTCACGTCCAAACTGTAACGACTTTATTTTTTAAAGATATCCAGAAATAAATATGACATTCTGGGATTTAGGCATTGATTTAAGAGATTATTTAATACAGTTTTTTCTGTTTCTTCTTATTTTTTAACATCCAAAATGCACAGAAACTGATGTCAGTTAAAGTGTTTGTGTGACTTATGTTTCCTCCAGGAAAAATAACTAGTAAGATTTGGAAATGCTAAATATTGTAATGGAACTTGAAGTAAAATATATTTGCTTTTATACAGGATACTCCTTTTAGCTTTCATGCTATGTTTGAACATTTGTATTAAACTCTTTTTTTCCTTAACTGCACATTTTTGTAATTACATTTTAACCAGGTAATATTGGAGGTGAAATGTGAATATTCATAATGAGCAAAAGTAAAAATTCTTCTTGCATCAGGACAGTTTTAATTATGCACTGCCATTTCTTCGCCACTCATCGCCCACCCTAATCACCAGATTTGGCTCCATTTTTCTTCAAAGTCAAATTCAAGTCGAAGAGTGGGAGCAGTTTACAGCAGAAAAGAATAATTAAGCTATTATTATTCCATTTAACTTTGTTCTCTGGATAAAAGGAAGCACTTTTACTGGAAGGTACATGTGTCTACAATTTGTATTAAGTTGAAAAATGTCAATTTTTGACTAATTACAAGACCGCCTTTATGTGAATTTTGCATTGATTTTAATCCAGGAATTTTATCAGCAGCTGTTCCAACGGCGTATCCTCGTGTTTTTATTCTAATAACATCAGGAAATGAGACACAAGTTAAAATTTGTTGTTAAGCTTCATTAATAAACAATGGGCCTCATGCAAGAACCGTTCGTACGCACAGATTTGTTCTTAAGTGTGCGTACGAGTGATTTAGGAGAATTTGTGGCATTCACCAATGTTTTCGTATTCTAAGATTTTTTTCAGATACGAACAAAATTCACGAGTGGTCCAGACCTGTCGTATATTTTACGAGCAGTCAGTCTGCTGTTATCCAGACGGGTTTTCTTCACTAATAACTTTATATTTCGTTAGTTTGAAGATATTTTGAGTTGAAAATAAATCACACTCCATAATTATGTTGACAATAGGCTATTCTGCTTGAATTAGAGTTATAATTTTAAATGTACAAATTTAGACTAACAATATAAATTGTCCGTCCGGCCGTTTTCTGCCGCTTATCCATGATTGGGTCGTGGGGGCAGCAGGAGACCCCGCTCTACCCAGCGACACCTTCCAGCTCGTCCTGGGGGACTCTGAGATGTTCCCAGGCCAGAGKGGATACATAATCCCTCTAGCGAGTCCTGGATTTTCTCCAAAGTGTCAGACTTATTTTGAAAACATTTTAAAATGCTTATCTCAGAACCGCAACTGAGACCACCTGCGACCGCACGCTCGGGGTGGGGGGTGCGCAGCGCTGCCGCTTCTGAATAAATGAAAATGACTTAGCACAGTTATTTATACTTTTAGCAGCTCTTTTTATCCCACAGCTGACCTGCTAAAAATGACAGATTTTCTTTTCTGGATCTCTGACAGACGGACTTCAATCTCTGAACTCGTAAAGTTTTTATTTTTTCAGTTTTCGCTGTCATTTTTCATGAATGAACACTTTCTGATATCTGAGGCAGGAAACATAGCCTTATATGGTGTTTTTGGGGTGGTAATTATGCTAATCTCCTCTCGCGTGCACGAGCAGCTGGATACGAACAGGTGGAAATTACGCAGCTCATTTACACASTTTTCCTGAAGATAGAAGAGTTTGTTGAATCTGACGTGACATGTTCGTACGAACCCTTTGTACGAACAAAAGTAAGAGAAATTTAGGATAAGAATACGAACATGTTCTKRCATGAGGCCCATTAACTGAATCATATATAAAAACAAACCCAGTTGGAGTGTTTGCTTTGAAACTGTTGTRTTGATGTTTGTTATAAAAAAAATCTATTGCTGAGTACACTAAACAGTTCAGTGGACTGAGGAGTTTGGAGCTCCTCCAACAAGTCTGAATAAGATTTAGAAAGAAACCAAAACAATGTGAGCAGGTTGGTAAAAAGATTTAATGTGGTGTAACACAAAACAAAGTGTTTCTGTTTTCTTCTGGCTTCCAGAGTTGGCTAATGATGTGATAGATTTGTTCTTAGTGCACACAAATTATGAAGAATTTAGCATTGACTTGTGTTGAGCGGGAGGGAAAATGTAATTTGTTTTGCCTCAGCTCTCACAGCAGCAGAAACGCAGACTCTGTTCCTTCTCCCCTCAGCTCTTCTCCATTAGTAAATGTAGCGGTCTTTCTTGAGTAAACRCTAACAAAGTGCTGCTCCGTGTGTTTTCCTCTTGTAGTTCTGTGAACRGAGACGAGCAGAAAGAGATGTCGTATGTGGACCAGCTGCCGGTGTCTGAGATCATCCATCAGGTGAGCAGAAACTCCCGGCTCTGTTGCCTCAAACCCAAATCCTAGTTTCCATCTCTGCCGTCTTTCACACCTTCCCTGGCGTTCAGACAGGGGTCCATGTTTCTGCACGCTGAAGTGTATCCACGCTGCTCTCTAATTTGGACTCGGAGCCGAGAAGTTGGGCACAACATCCACCAACAGCTGTCTTTGTGCCGTTTCCATGGTGACGGTTCTAAGTGTGAAATGTGACTGCCTCCCGGTCGTCGTGCGGAGGGGCCACCGTGAAATCCCACAGAATGGGGTGGGCAGGATTGTGGAGGAGAATTGTGTATTCACCTCATTCCCAAATGGATTGTGGCTTTCAGTCAGGTCGACCTTCACAAATGAACACCTCTTCCTCCTCGATCCATCTTTGGAACGTGCACGCTGCATTCAAAGCAGCTCTTCCATGGTCTCGTATCACCCTTGTAAGATTTTTCCATTATGAGGCCATTAAAAATACAATTTCTGTTCTCCCACTTCAGAAATGTAAAAAAGCAGCATTAACCTTTACCAGAGGCGAGTCGGCGACTGACATTGTTAGTGCTGAGGTTTGGTGCTCAGCTCTCCAGGACTAAAATACAGAGCGAACACCTTTTTATCGAGTATTCTCTTTGTTTAAGTGGTAGTTTTATGTTACTGAGTTACACTTGTTCACATGTGGGAGGAATAACAAACYTTTAAGTTGCTGAAGGTTAAAAATGAGGTCGTAAACTAAGGCTGTAGTCACACCAGCTCTGTTTAGTCCACTTTAATCAAACTCTAGTTCGTTTACGTGGAAAGTCCAGTTTGATTGCATGTGTGAACACCAAGCAGACCGGAGACCGCTCCAAAAACAGGAAGTGGACTATAACACAGGTCTGAGTAATAATAACAGTAATAAAGTTACTAATTTCTTGTAAATACTTAGCTGGATGTCTGTATAAGGTGGACATCACTGCTGTGAAGTTGGACGAGCTCCTTCTCAGCTGCCWTATGTGAAAAACAACACTCTCCGCGGTTCTGCCTCGTCTTCCTCTCATTCTGAGCTCACTGTTGAAGACTGTTTGTTCGGCACATTTGCTAAAAACCAAAAAATTAATCGTACATCCACTAAAATCTGACGTTACTCCATGTTTGTTTACATTTTGTGAGGAAGGAAGGTTGTTCACAGGGTTTAGTTCGTTTAACAAAGTGCAGTGTGAATGTGAATCAGACCAACTGAAAATGTAAACAAATTTTGCAATTTTGGTCCCCAATCAGAGTGTAGTGAACTAAATTAAATTCTTTGTCTTATTTAGTACGCATTACCAATAAGCAGTGCACAACATGCAAAAATCCCCATTAAATGCTGACCAACAATTAGCATAGATGCTAACTCATTATAGAAATCGTATAATAGAAAAGATAACAGTTAATATTGTGTTTATCAAGTATTTCAAAGTCACTACTTAAGTTGTGTAGTCAGATCAGAATCTGAATAATTATTTGAGCCGTGRGGGAAATTACAGTTATTACAGCTGCAACTGTTTACCGGTAAGTAAAAAAATTAGAGAACTAGAAGGACGGACGGACGGGACCAAAAACATTAACTCCTCCCTTGGCGGAGGTAATAAAAGATAGGCACACTAGAATAAAATAAAAAATAAACAGAATAGTTAGGTGAAAAGGCCCTATAAAGATGTTATAAGATGATATAAAAACAGATGTTTGGGATATTAAACATGTTAAACAACTATAACAAAATGCAGACATTAATTGACGAGCAGTATAAAAATGTTTAATTGCACATATTTTTTTCCATAATTTTTTTATTTTAATGACAGCTGTTAACATTTTTCCATCAGTAAGTTAATGTTTTTGAYGACGCAGTGCCTCGGAGGGATTATCATCTAAAATTTAAAAACAGGCTGACTGTTTAATATGCTGTAATGACATTTTTGCTGACCAAAACATAGCAGTTAGGCAGTTGTTTGTCCTCACTTTAAATGCATAAACACATAGCAGMTAATCTCTGCGGCTGAGTTAACGCCAAGTGTCAAATCTGTTTTTTTTTTAAGCCAGAGTACCGTCGTTTGGCTTGGAGAAATTAAGCTGACCACAAGCCCCAGCTCTGTCAGAAGCTTACCATCATGATGGGAAAACAGGAGGGGTCTCCACACCCAGCGGCAGTCTGGGATATTAGTTCACMCTGGCCTGAGAGGCATTTGCTAGCKTCAGACCCGCTSCCTGCTGCTCATGGAGGAGTGTGTTTGTTTGCTCCTTGTGCATTAAAAATTACAGTCACACAACTGAAAACTTGCAAACACACCTCATTAAGTCTYCTCCATCTGCTGCTTGGATTCATATCGTGGCTTCTTTTTGTCTCCTTTTATTTTCAGATTTAAACATTTTATCTTTGTGTTATTAAAAAAAATGTGGCAGAGCTCACAAACACTCCACAACCCAGTGACCCTCCGACAGAGAGTTTGATTATTGGCTAACTCTCCCGCTGGGTTGAAGATGGGGGTCCTGACAGGCTGTCATTTCTCTCCCCTCTCATCTGCACTGCAGCAGAGTGACCAGAGTCCGCCGAGCCCACTGGCAGCCCTCCTGCTTCTGATTAGAAGTCAAATAGAGCTCAGCCTCTTTGTTTACACGAGGCTGCCGCTGCAGCCGCAGATATTCTCACCTGAACATGAGCCTCATATGATGAGCAGATTCTGCTGTTTTTAATTAAAGAAAAAAGATGTTGTGAAATATTCATAACTTGTTTATCTTCCGAGATAAGGACTTTTCTTTGCTAGCAGATCAGGCGATTGCATGCAAACACAAAAAACAGAAATCAGATTGACTGACAGGAGAAATATAAGACTTGTGTGCAAACTTCTCRTCTGTGGCTACTTGATTAATCCATTATCACTGAAGGTGTTGCCTCCATCTCTGTCCAGCTTTATCGCAGGCTGTTGCCAGCATCTAATCACATTATGTTCAGAGCTGGAAATAACTCAAGCTCTCCCGTTCTCTTCCCCCCCTTTTCCTCTTGTGTATTGTACTTTTTTTTTTTTTTTTCATTTTTGCATTGCTGAGAGCTCTGCTCTCTGGCGTCAAATTGTTATTTGTTCTTTTGCCAGCTTGACGCCACCCCATATGGCTCTGGAGAATTGAAAATGGAAACAGTGAAAATTAATGCTTTGCCTCCCTCCCGTCCCTCGTAAATTCCTCCCGTCTTCAATCAGACCGTTGCAGTGACACTTTTCAAAACATGGATGTTGCGATTATTTAGATCACAGACCTGTCTGTTTGTTTAATCAAACATCCGCTTGAGTTCTCTGTAATGCTCACAAATCCATATTAATATCTACAGGAAAAAAGGCAAAACATGTTGCATGAAAGAATAAGACACCCCCTTCTTTGACTGTCAGCACTTGCTGTGGGCGTAAATAACAAGGTAATACAGCAAAATGTCCCGGCGGTGCACAGCAGAGCTCCTTCCTTTATTTCAATCCACACAACATAATGTGCTGCAGCTTTGYCCTTGAAGCGAAAGTGTTTGGCAAGATGTTCCAGTCTTCCCTCAACGACTATTAGCATTGTGTTAATTAGCTTCAATCAGTCAGATGAAGAACTGTTAATTGATTCTATTGGTGAATTAAATACACAACACGGTGCATACATAGTGGAAGCAGACTGCCTGGATGTAGGTCCCTGTCTTCTCTTGTGAAAGGCTTTGTTGCTGAAGGTCAGAGGCACYTTTTAAGACACACTTTCATCTCTGTTTGAATCAGTTTTAACCTTTACTTCACTTGTAATTAGTATTTTTTTTGTTTGTTTCCAAAGAGTAAAATGATAAAAACCTTGATTATTTCTATTCAGTGCAGAAGTTCAGACGTGCTTTAAAAGTTTAGTCGGTTAAATTATTCTAATTAAAAACTCACATTTTTCAACTTTTATTATGATTATTAAGCTTTATTTTTTTTGCCTATAAAATAATGTTCCATGTTTCTTAAAAAGACTAACCTTTGCTGCAGAGGGGAAAATTATGTTTTTTACTCGCCTTAGAAACCGTTAAATTAGGAAGTGTTTGTTTTTCCTTTGTGCATGCAGAACCCTGAAGGAACCTCAGACTGGCAGAACTGAGCAGCACAGTGAGTCTGCTGCAGCYGTGTCCAATCCTGGTCCTCCAGGGCCGCTATCCTGCATGCTTTATTTGTTTCTCTTCTCCAACACACTGGATTCAGTGACTGAATCACCTCTTCAAGTTCTACTAAAACCTGTTAATCACTCATTTATTCAAATCAGGTGTGTTGGAGCAGAGATCCTCTAAAACCTGCAGAACGGTGGCCCTCGAGGACCAGTATTAGACACCACTGGTCTAGAGCCACATATTATCTGGTGTCAAATAAAAAGAAAAGTGTATTTATTGAAAAATAATTTCGAAGTTCTCACACACTTTCTTCTTTTTTCAGTTTTTCTGTTTCCTCTTTCTTTGCTCCTAACATACCCCCCCCACTGCTGCCTGTGCTGATGTGGCAACCTGTCACACTCGATCCATCTCCTCTTGCTCTCCTTTATCCTTCGGGCTGCCTCATATATAAAAACACACGTATATAAATATGTCTACAGTCACAGGAAGCTCTGTTTACTGTTGTCAGAGAGGTCAGTGGCACCTGATGGCCACATGCCCGCAGACATCCCTCATGACCATCACCGGTCAGGCTCTTCCTCATCCTCCAGTTATATAACCCTCCTGTTTTTGTCTTTCTGCTGGCCACTCTCTCACCTTGACTACAGGTGAAACTGCCTCCAACTCACACGCTGGTATGTGTGAATCCTGCAGTGAAATGACAGCAGGGCTTAAAAAAAGGTTGTTGTTTTTTTGCTATATTTATGCTGTTTGAAAGTGTGCAATAGTTGACCTATTTAGAAGTTTTTAGTCAAGCTGTCCCTCGTTTAAAAGTTTAATCTAAAGTACAATTAAATGTGCCGTCAGAGGCTATAACTAAATATAACACAGTCAAGCT